GAAGTTTGAGCCCAGGGTCCCACTACTTATTATTAGCTTGCGTAACTTCGGACAAATCACTTACTGTGACTGAACTTATAACCTCATCGTAAAATGAAGATAACATCATTTATTTGTCTATCCCAGAAGCCACAAAGAAATGTTCATGAAATGAAGTGTTTGTGAAAGCCCTCTGAAAACTGCAATGTGCTATACAAATTTAGAGCATTGTGTTTAGTGCCTTGCACGCAGTAGAAATTCAACGTTTCTTGAAATGGAAAATGTAGAAGTGACATGTGACCAAGTGTTATGAATCATTTTTAAGCACACATACTAAAAAGTATATATTTGAATGAGTATTGTCTCTTTTAAAGTAGTCACCTTAGAAGATCAGCCACAATCCAATGATGCTGTTACCCTTGTGAAAATCATTCATTAAATTACTCTTTGAGAATGACCCTCAGAATCTACAATCCATTCTTTTGAAAAACCTCAATAGTGGCAAATCACTTTTCTTTGAAGATTAAGTTCACTTCTCAGAAAAAAAAGTCAAAAGTCATTTGGAGCCAAGTTCTACAAAGTGAATGATCAAATCAAATCTCATTGCTATTTGAAAATAAGAGCTGATTATAAAATGATTGGGATTGTTTTTCTTCTGTAGCTCTGAAGGCTTTTCTGCAAGAAAGTCCCAAAATATTTTGAACAGTAGTAGTATCATTGTAACAAATGTATAACCTTCCAAAGTGACAAGTTTGAAGGGAACCTCTCATTTGAATGTCAAGTTCAGGAATGTTCATGGAAAAAGAGATCAGCCAGTTTACAGTAAAAAAAAAAAACATCATAAATCAAACACAATATAATTATATCTCACTTTACCTAGGCATAGGACACTAAAAAATTAACTTGGAGAAAACAAAGCCTCTATTTTCCTGTATGCACATTTTCCTTTGATTGTATAATCTGTGGGCTAAGAATTGTGCAGGTATGCATGTATCTGTATTTATACATACACATGCATGTAATTGGGAAGAGAGGTGCTTATACATACATATATGTGATTAAGGTTAGACTATCTTATGTTAAGACATTAAATATGATTATATATGCATGTATATGTAGAGAATGTATACACACATCTTACAAGCGGTCCCCAACTTATTAGCAGTTTGTGATCCAAATTCCATATGTAAAGTAATTGATTGGAATTTGGAACACATTTCCCCATGAAAACAATTTAATACATGGTTGTTACATTTCCAGGCCAGCCTACAAATACCTACTTAACCAATAACATGATGGAAGCATAGTACTTTTCAACTACACCTAACCACTACTTATAACATTATTTTTTAGGGCAAATACATTTCATGTCCTAATTTATGATGTTAGGAACATGGTTCCCCAATGGCAGCAGTATCCAAGATTCCCACATTAGAGGAAGGATTAAGAAAATACTATTGACTATTAATCACTTCTTAATTCTATTCATCTGAATTAGAAATGGCACCTAAGAATAATTTTTTTAAAAAGAGAGAAGATGAAAGAAGAGCTAGGCTGCTTCTCAAGGAGAATAGATAATGAAAACTAATTATTGAGAGAAAGTAGAGTTGCTCAACTCCCATTTTGCTTCTATTTTCTTTGCCAAAGAGAATGAGCTTTGGACTAGAAAGGGCAGAACCAAAAGGGATGATAGGGAAGTTGATACTCAAAATAAATGAGGTGATGCCCAATGAAATACATCCTAGAGGCTGTCTAATTTTTTATATGTAGCTCTGGTGCTTTAGCACAGTGTCTCACACACAGTAAGTGCTTAATAAAAGATGCTATTGTTTGATTCATTCATTCATTCAACTAGCAGATTTAATTGCCAAACCACTGGCAGTGATTATTCAAAGGTCAGGAACTTAAAGGAGGCATATATTGTCCTAATTTTGACAAAAGGAAAGAGAATTGAATCTGCAAACCATTGTCAGGTTATCAGACTTTCATTCCTGACAAGATGCTAAAAAGTATTAATAAAGGGATGCAAATTTTTAAAAGGAGGTAGGTATAATGTTCTCATCAAGAACAAGTCATGAAAGACCAATCTTATTTCCTCTTTTAACAGGATTACCATACTGGCAGATTTAGGGAATACTATAGATGGGGTTTACTCAGATGTCTCCCCCATTAGATTATAAGCTCTCTGAGGGAAGGGACTGTATTTGGTCCCTTTTTATATCCCCAGCACTTAGCACAGTGCCTGGCACATACTAGATACTTAATAAATAAATGTTTATTGATTGATTGAAAGTATTTGACAAAGTATCGCATGCTCTCCTTGTGACAAAGATAGAGTGATACAGTTTAAGGCTAGACTATATTACAGTTACATGGATTCCACACTGCTTAAATGGTTAGACTGAGTCATTAATGGTTTGATTTCCATTTGGAAGGAGATGTGAATGAACTGTCCAAGATATCTATGTCCAAGGCATCTTAACATTTTTACCAATGACCTGACAAAGGTTTAGAAAACATATCAAATTTGCAGATGACATATAAACTAAGAGAAATAGCCAATGCACTGTAGGACAGAGTCAAGATTTTAAAAGATCTTGACAAGTTAGGACATTGGTCCAAAATGAATAATATGCAATTTAATAGAAATAAAAATAAAGTCAAATTTGAGTTCAAAAATGTCAACATTACAAATACAAGATGGGGAAACATGGCTAAACAACAATTAGAAAAAAACTGAGGGGGAGGCTTAGTTGGCTATAACTTCAATATAGGAATCAAGAATATGATATATAGCTAAGATAGTCAATGAAAGCTTAGACTACATTAAGAGAATACTGGTGTCTAGGGCAAGTGAGGTGATAGTACTGATGTGTTCTGCCTTTGAAAGAACACATCTAGAGTGTGGTGCTCACGTCTGAATGCCTTATTTTTAGGAAGGCTATTGATAACCTAGAGAGTTTACAGAAGACAATCAGGATGGTGAAGGACCTTAAGATTGTGTCATATGAGCATCAACCAAATGAACTGAGGATGGTTAGATGGGAGGAAAAAAAATACTTAGGGAGAAACAATAGCTGTCTTTAAGTATCTGAAGAGTCATCATGTAGAAGTTTAATTAGTCTTGTTCTGCCTGGTCCCAGAAGGAAGACTTAGGGGCAATGGGCAGAAGTTGGAAATAGACAAATGTAGGATTAGCATAAGACAAACCTTCCTTACAATTAGAGCTATCCAAAAGCAGAAAGGGCTACTTCATGAGGTAGTTAACTCTTCTTCACCAGATGTCTTCAGGCAAAGATGGCAAGACCACC